AAATGTTAACCTCAGCGATTACTCTCTGTATGCGAGTTATGTTATCAATCTTTTCTAATATTATTATGAAATGTATTTTTTTTTTTAATCGTTGATTGAATGATGATGTTGGATGTACGCCCCAATACGCTACCTATAGTTAACTCACGGAAATAAAATATTGGTTTGTAGGATAATAAAAATCAAATAATAAAATTACACAGAATTTTATATTACATTTTGTTTATACTAGAAGATAAGGGGCCGAAAGAAAAATTCGTGTTTTTAATTTAAAATATTCGAATTATTCAAGTCGATTGTATTTGTTTCATATCTAATTACGAATACTGTTGTTAAATTGAAAATAAGAGATAAAAGAATAATATGACACCATTAGCATCACTTATCACATCACACAGACCTTTTCCCACGAATGCTCAAACAATTCTGCCATTATTTTCCTCTCAGTTGCCGCTAAATTTGTTGTAATGTGATCTTATCAAGCCTGTTTTGTTACGAACACTTTAGTAGCAACGCCATGGAATGATGCGTAAGAGGTTATTATTTCGACAGTATCGAATGCGTTAATGTCTGAGTCGTTACTCCATTCGGGCGAGGTCTGCAGAAGAGTGCCGCGATCTAGGTGTTGAGATGTCCGGAAGCTTGAGTTCATCAGTGTCTTCCAGCAGATCGTACTGTGGTTAGTAAATTGAAATGCTAAGGATTTATTTTAACCTTCCCACTGCTTAAAAATGTTTATTAAATCAGGTGTTTACTGATAAGATTTGTTATCGCAATAATCCTTCTTTCCGGGTTCTTATGGCTCGTAAATAAACATGTCTGTGATTACCGAAGTACTCATTCATATTAGTAATTAGATTTCTCAGTCTATATACACTTCTATATATATACATTTAATTTTTATTCGTTAAAAATTATCCACATATATATTTTTTTATAACCATCGTTTTTATTGTTTGTTATTTGTTGTTCTTAATTATATTTATATAATCTTCATTTTTTAAAAAATATTTTAAGTATAAACGAAATATTTTAATTTTAAATATTTGTTTAAAATCGTCTGTTTCTTTCAATTTAGCAACATTTTCACATAACTCATGACAGATATTTATTCATAATTTATATGGATATTTATGTATTTATACACTGGGAGCCGAATAAAGACCATTGGTTGTTCTGATATTCAATTAACTCATAAATACTGCCTTCATAGTCCTTTGGAATTAATAACATTAAAATAAATTGCTATTATGGGTCCTGGATTTATATGCAAATGCGTATTTTTTTTCATAACTTTAACAAAAAAAGAATTGATATTTATATGAAAAAAAGTCATTTTAAATATTTTGAGAAATTTTTTATGTTGTAGAGTTATGCTTATTCAACCAAAATTATATTTTTGTGCGTATAATCCGTGGTACAGACTAGTGTTGCCCGAATGCGAGACCGAGACGGGTCTTGATCTTGCAAACTCAGTTTTGGTCTAGGTCTTGGTCTTGAGCAAGACTCTAGTAACAGTCTTGCAGTTACCTATTAGCTTATTACTAGAGAGATATTACTGTATTTTTTTAGATATGAGAAACCTAACTACGTCTGAATGAAAAATTAGAAGAGTTAAATGCAAAAGTATATTGATTACACCAATTCTTTACATGTAGTAACTAAAATTGTCAAGTATTAGTAACTATTTTGCCTCAATTTTTATTCAAAAAACCGATTTTTTTTTTACCAGTTTTGGTCTTGGTTTTGTAACAGATAGGCGGTGTTAGTCTTGGTCTTGCAAAGTAAAAGACCAAGACCTATTTTGGGTATATATTAATTATTAACATCTGCCTGAAACTTCGTCAATAGTTTCATCTCATAGTAACCTTCAACTATTTTACTTGCGAATCGGAGCGTTTTCGTAAATAAAATAGTTGCAGGCTACTATGAGAATCTGGAGGGGGACAAACTTTGTCTATTTAACTAGGTACTAAAAACTCGTAAATACTCATTTGTTTTCTACTTGGATCATAAAATAATTTGATCACAAAATAGAGAATAAAGGTGGCCTTAAAAAATATTGAGCTGTTTGGCGTGACCCCCAAATTTTCAAAATAACAAAAAGGACAATATTTTTGTAGGCCATCTTGTTTTATCAATTTTGTGATCAAATTATCTTACGATCACAAAATAGAAAGCAAATGGGTATTTACGAGTTTTTTGCCTAATGAAATAGACAATTGAAAACGCCCCAATTCCAAGAGTTTTCGTAAATGAAATAGTTGTAGATTACGATGAGATGAAACTATTTACGAAGTTTCAGGCGGATGTTAATAATTCGACTAGTATTTATTCTCCAAAGGCATATATTATGCACAATTCGATTAACAGAATTCATTTTCGCCGTACGAAAATTTATTAATTAATAAAAATAATGTTAATCTATATTTGAGAAGATGTTATTTATATTTCCAGCTTTGAATAATTATATTTCAATAATAAAAAGTACTGATAAAATCATGTTTATTTGTAAAAATATTAAGATGTAAATTCTCCAGTAATTAATGCAAACTTTGAAGTTCTGTTTTGGATAGATAATTTGTACGGATGTACTTACCGGAAAATAAAAACTAGTTTAACTCACAACAAATACCCGTGCTAACGTTTCAAAACTTTATTTGTTTTTCTTAAAACTATATAATTGAGTCCTATCAATAGAGTATTTAGGCCATTTGTGGTCCGGAGCGGAGTAAAGTGTGAGGCTCACTAAAAAATAAATATATAAAATTACAAAAAAAATGTTATATTAAAAACTAAGTTCTCATCTGAAAAAAGTAAATGCTTTTTGAATTAAAATTGCCAATCACTTTAAGAAAAAAAAAATTAAAATCTCTACTTGGTGGAATGCCCATTAGGAAATTTACTATAAGTTCAAATAGCTTTTTAAATGATATAAAAATCGTAAATATGATAAACGTAAATAGTGAATTGTAATTTTTTAAATATTTTTATGATACATATTTTATCTTCATTACTTTATTTCGCTATTTAGTTGCATATAACATTGCATATTATTGCTATTTTTAGGACATATTTCAATCTTTATTCTTCCATATAAATACGGCCCTAAATAATAATAAAAACGGCTTAAAAAAATTAATTATATAAATATTTTATTATTTGATGATTTTTTTTTTCTTTTTCTTTTTATTGCGGCTTACATTCGATGTTTTGGAATTATTTTTATTTTATTTATAATTTAAGATAAATTGATTCGTTTTGTTTTTATTTTTACCTCGATGTTTTTTTACTAACATTTTTTTACAATAAAAGTCAGAGACATAATGAAAAGGATTATATACCCTCTAGCATGGCATTTGTAAAATTAAGAAATTCACGAACATTCCCCGAATTATTTTTATATTCTTCATTAAGAAAAATTATGAATTCTTAAGATTTTGATAAAATTTCTTAACACATTATCTATACCTGGACTACATATATGTCTACTCCGTATATGATTATAATTTTCATTGCTACTAATTATTAACAGGGGCTTAATAGAGTATATTAAATTAATAATTTAAAAATAAGGGACTAAAACCTAATGAACATTCATTTGTTAACCTTTTTTCTAGATGTGGGACAAAATATTTTTATATTTAAATATTTGCTTTAAATCACAAATTATAATAACGATAATACAAATTTATGTTAACTAATAAAATAAAGTATTGCATGTATAAAATATTACAACAAAAATATATATACAAAATAATAAAGCCATTTGTTTTTTTGTTTTTTTAGTTGAACGTAAAGAAAAGTGAATTTGATTTTGCATACACATTTAATTTTTTTTTAAGTAATCAATACTAGGATTGAATAGTTTTTACATGAATACATTTAACATTTTTTAAGCGACACAAGCTTCAAGGGTAGATGTGACATGATTATCTCAAGTTCATAATTTTGGGACAAAAATATTGGAAAGAAATATATATTAACTGATAAATATATATATATATATATATATATATATATATATAATTATTTAATTTATGTATTATATGCGTAGTATTACGTACCACGATATATTATGTAAAAGGTCTAAAATAATAAAGAAAATTATGAAAAGTAATGACATTTGTTAAGAAAAAATATAATATTACTTATTTTACCTCTAATGCAAAAATCATGAAACACATTTCTTTCTGATTGTGAGTTGATGGTTGACTGTAATGAATAATTGAAGAGAAGGATGGTGGTGTGATCAGCCAAAATAAAATAGTAAAAATAAATAATTATATTTATTTTTACTATTTTATTTTAACCGATCATCCCAACCATCCTACTCTTCAAAATTTCTTTCTAATTTGCACAAAACATTTATCATTATGGTTTGAAATACTAGTGCCCGAATGTTGTTGGACTTCATTGATTTTGAATTTTATTATAGATTTCATGTTATGATTATTTATTCTATTCGTTAATAATGTCTAACACATTTTATGATAATTTGAACATTAACGTTTGTTAAACCATGTTATATTCGGATAGCGTTCCACCAAAATTATTTAATGTACCAATTTATCAAATTAAAATGCATAAATAAATCATAGATTTTTTTTTAAAGAGTATTTTAATAAAATAAATAAAAAATGCACAATTAATATCCGATTTCTTTAAGTTTCTATCTTCAATCCGGTCCGTGAGACATTCTTTGATTACAAGGAAACATTTTAAAACTATAAAAAAAATGAAATTTAAGTAAGAAAATAAAATGTATGTAAGAAAATTACTCATACACGAGATTACTACAACATTTATATCATCCTTTTTTTTTTTCTCTTTGAAAGCTCATTTCATAGTTGAAGTGTCATTATTGAACAAACCGTTGGTTTATTATTTTTAATAATAAAAATCATAATTTTTAATTAGTTAATTATAATAATAAGAATCCATGTATTAATTCTATATGTGGATAATTGTATATAATCAAAATCAATAATTTGTTTCAGCCACTTGGGTCAAAAGGTTTCCCAGCGATGACGACGTCCTCAACGACAGAGCAAATTCTTCACTCACAGAAATCCAAAAAGAAAAATTGAGCCATTTCTTTTCACACGTTTTCGACATGGATAGGGACGACATTATCTCAGTGCAAGATTTTGAATCACTAACAGAAGTAAGTATAACTATGTTCAAATACACATACGTATGAAGCGGAATTTAAGTTTCTGTTGAGGATCGGATAGCATTGAACTAACTCATTAAATGGAGCGTCTACGATTAAGTGACTTAAGAGCCGAAAAATTTGAATTATTTTTTTATTTACCAATTGACCTACATAAAATCGCTAATGAAATGATTTCTAATCAAGATCCAAAAAACATATTTTTGTTGTTTAAAATCGAGTTTGTATTGAGTTAAGATCCACAGTTCATTCTCCCATTTCTTCTACACTTTTACCACGGGATGATTTACATTATTGTTCAAATAGATACAATGATAAATCGGTTATGAAATATTAAAAAAAAAAAAAATACTAAATTATACCAAAACTGAAAATTAAAAATAAATCCTGAATTATTCATTTATTTTTCTAAATTTTAATCCTCTCATATCATATAGTCATATTTATCCCTCCATCTTTCGCCGTGTTCACTTGTTTAGTCTAGAAATGGATTTCTTGTTAACTGTCAAACTCTATTTAGGGTTGACAGGACTCGGATTGGAATCATTCCACTTTTTCACAAGTTTATGTTCAATTTTGACTAGTACGCATATCGCAAGTTGAAATATTCATCCAAATATAAGGATATAATTTTTCAGGATCCTGACAAAGTAGATAATATAAATGGCGAAACTCTCCATTAACATGGTGGTTTCAGTTGATGTTATAAACGTTATTCCTCATTTTTTTTTTTACTTTTTTTTCATAGCGGGCCATATTTTCCATTCAACAGGAAATTTACTTGAAATCCATTATTTGGAAAAAATAAAACATGTGAACACAATCGCAGCTCGTCGTCTTTCCATACAGCAGTTAGAGGAAATATCAACGATTATTGATTCATTGATTAGTTATGTTTTATTTATTTTATTTTTTTAATAATTCGCATTATTCTTCTTGATCAGGAATGGGAAGAAAAATAATAATATTATCAAATAAACTTTTTATTTCGATTAAATTACTTTAGATTTAATCGATTACTTTTCCCGTACTTTGTTTTTGTTGCGATGAAAGACGTCATCAGGAAACATGTACGTGACCGTGGATGAGCATAGGCTTCAAATCACAGGTTGGACTAGGCACAAAAAATGGCCCACAATTATATTCATTCTCGGACATTTGACTACACAATAATTCTATTGTGATTCGAGTACAGGAACTCAAGAAGTGCTCTTCCATCCGCTAATCATTGCGTAACTGTTGTACAAGAACAGTTCCAAGGCATCCACCCTATTTCTTCTGATTCATCAGATTTTTCTTATCGTGACAAATCTAATATTCAAATGATTCAACAAAAATAAATGAAAACTTGTACTACTTGTAGCAGTAGTAGAAAACCAGATAGTGTTCAAGTCCTAACCAATGAATTTTCAATAAAAAGCTATACTATGTTATTATATTTTTTTTCATTTGATAAAATTATAGATTTATTCAATCATTCTGAATTTGACTATAGTAGACAAAATGAAAAAAATTATTTGCACATCTCATAGACAGCTTTAAAAAGAAGTTTCTGTAAATTTAATTATTGATATTAAATAACACTATTTGCATGCGTATTTAATTGTAGAGGATTCGACACTTCTCCGACTGGTCAACAAACAGTGGTGATTATTTAGTTCTTGAACAAGTGCAGCAAGGATTCATTGAAACATTCATACATCCACTGAAACCAGATACAAGCTCTGAAGGTATGTTAGACCTATATAATCTTAAATTATTAATGATCTTGGATTGTTCAGCCAATGACAGGTAAACACGTTTTGTAATCATACAAACAATTCAATAGAATAAGATCCGACACAAGACTATTTAAACCTAAAAAACTAATGAAATTTTACAATTACTCATTTACCATAATCCAAAATTAAACCCTATAAAGACCAATAAGCTGATGGTGTGATATGGCCCTTCGCCTAAAATGATAGTTATTTTACTAACAAGACTTTGAGAGCCAGAAGGTATGTATTGGGTTATCCGTAAAATAATGCAGGATTTTGGTTTAAAAAGAATAAAGAAAGATTTACAACTGTTTTATTTAATCAAAATAGTCTCCACTACCATCAATACATTTCTGCCAACGTGTTGGCAACTTTTCCATCCCTTCGGAATAGAATTTCCCATCTTTAGAAATGATAAACTCCAAAACGCATTCTCTAATTTCCTTTGTCCACTCAATTTTCTGTCCCGTAAGTAGTGGTCCAGGTGTCTAAGAAAATGATAATCGGTAGGCGAGAGGTCCGGAGAGTAGGGATGATAAAGCAGTTTCTTATCCAAGCTTCAACAGTTTTTGCGACGTCACACGTGAGACATATGGCAGGGCGTTGTCATCCAACAAAATGGGTCCCTTCCGATTGACCAAAAATGGCTTCATTATTGCCAATTTCTCATGGATTGCATCAATTTGGTTATAATACGTTTCGGTATTGATAGTTTCCAGGATTTAAGAAATTGTAGGATGTCAAACCAAATGAAGTCCACCAAACAGTACCCACACCTTTTGATGAGTTTGGGGCTTTGCAAAATGTTCTGCTGCTTCTCCTTTGTCAGCCACCACAGGCGGATCTACGGGGGGGGAGGGCTTTCGGGCTGAAGCCCCCCCCCAAAATTAAATCCTGGATCCGCTATTGTCAGCCTCTGTCCAGAACGTCTACCGTTATCGTAAAGTATCCACTTTTCAACACAAGTAACAATTCTGGACAAAAAAAGGCCGTTTTTATTTCAGCAAGGTATATATAGCACAAACTTCATAACGCTGGGTTTTTTGGCGGTCGTTTAATGTGAGTGGAACCCAACTTTCAAGTTTTTTTACCTTTCCAATCGCCACCAAGTGGTCATCGACGGTCTATTTGCTAAGGTTTTTTAAGTTTCCTTGCAAATTCTGGAACAGTCTGAGGTTTTTTTCACCAAAGCCAGCAGAACATCGTCATCAAGAGAGCAAGTCCTACCACGACCTTTTTGCCATCAAGGCCGAAGCCTCCCTTCCAACATTTCTTTAAACCACCGTTGAACAGTGCACTCATTAATGCTGCTCTCCCCCCATACTTGATTGATATTTCTGGCCGTCTGAGTCCAATTTCAAACGAGTTTAAAATTGTAAAACAAAATTATACGAAAATCACGCGTTGATTGAAGGCTTTATTATTTCTAATTAGCGAAATGCTACAGAGGTAAACAAACATTATCCTTTGGAAGAGGAATAATAAGTGTTGACATTCATACAAATGAATAATCCAGTAAACGCAAACAGTTTGATATATAGAGCGGTGTTTAAAAAAAAAAAAAATCAAAATCTTCCATTATTTTCCGGAAAACCCAATAAAATAATTATTATAAGATTACAATCAGAAATGTTGTATTTATTATTTACTTTTCATCCTATAGGTTTCTAATGTTTTAAAATAACAATGGACAGTCTTTTATTTATTTACTTTTTATTCTTATATCTACTATTAAGTAAATCATAGAAAAAATTAGACAGAATCATAATTAATTTATAAGATTATATTAAGGTTAATTAATTTTTTTTAACAATAAGCAGGATATTATTATCAGTTATTCATTAAATTTACTTAACATTTATTTGCAGCTGAAAGTTTGCCTCCTATTGATATCAACAAATTATTCCTTAGTATTGAGGACTGGCTTTGGTTCTGGGGTTTACTCCTGGAAGGAATCAAGTCCTATCATGAACTTCCGATTTGGCTTCAGTACTTTCCCAAAGTAATATTTAACGCTATCAACAAAAGTGGTAATTCTTTTTTTTTTTTTTTACGACTATTTAAAGAAATCATCTAGCTGTAGACTTATTCCAGGTAACACCAACTAAAATTAAATTTTTACTCGTAGTAACCAATACAAAAAAATGTACACAATTTCTTATTTTGAGTCTGTCATGTCACAAATCAAATTAAATCCCATACAATAACCTTTAAAATGAACATGTCTATATTACCATTGGTTGTAAATTTAAAGCTTAAAAAAACATTATTTTCATAATTCTTAAAAATCAATATCTTAAAAATAGATGTGTAATTTATTTAGTTGGTATAAATATTATACCAAAAATCGTGTGAATTATTTATTTTGATTTTTTCTTAATGTTGATTACAATAAGAAATTTTTTTTCATGAAGTGTTTTACTCAATATTTATAAATAAAATTTAGTTTACTTGATTTAGTTGTTATTTTTCATAAGTTACATAACAGTTTTTACAAACTAATTCCGGATACTGATTGTCTTAATCTATATATTTTCTGAAAGAGTAGATTCTTCAAATTCATTTCATAGCTGCCATTTTCTACAAGTCTTACATATTCTCTGAGCTATACATCATCAAGATATTTTTTCTCTATAGCACAATAGTGTAAATTTATAATTTGTTCTAAACAGACATCAATACCAGGATAATAAAATTATTTTTGTTCTTATTAGCTCAATAGACATTTCGGAAATAAAAAACTTACAAATTAATGTTTTATAAAAACAAATTAAACTTCGAAAATTCTACGTTAGAGAGGGCGAAATTTTAAATCCAGGTGGAGAAAAACTAGTTTTAAAGTTTGAATCACACCCCTTTCTTCTGTAAATTGTAATTCGATCCTACGCAACAATATGAACATAATCTAATATTATGAGAAGGAGTTAGTCGGGGATGCGGTCAGATAAATACTAAATTAAAATATAGTAATTATTTTATTTTAGTTTTGCTGACATTTCGACCCACTTTGCAGGTCTTCTTCAGGGCGTAGGATGTAGCACTGCGGGAGGTAGTTGAAAAACTGTGTTTTAACTGCCTCCTGCAGTGCTACATCCTACGCCCTGAAGACGACTTGCAAAGTGGGTCGAAACGTCGGCAACATTAAAATAATATAATTACTATATTTTAATTTAGTATTTATCTGACCGCACCCCCGACTAACTCCTTCTCATATTATATCAACAGTAAACCATCTCTACATCATAACCTAATATTGTGTATAATTCAATTCCAGGAAAATGTGACTCTCTCACTTTGACCTGAACAATGTTCTCTATTTAATTAATATTTATTACATGCTTACTACTTCAAAGGTCTAATTTATTTTTAGTCCAAAACTGTATTGGGATAATCTCTTATTAATTGTGATCGCTAAAGCTGTTTTTATTATATTATTTAGAAATAAATGTTTGTTAGTTGAGAATGAAATCATTTTAATTACATTTATAACAGGAACAGGCATTATAACAAGAGATGAACTGAGCGCCTTCTATTCTTCAGTAATGGGATTCTCAGCACAGAGAGTGGGTGAAATTCTTGATAAAGCCTACAGAGCTATGACAGCAGTAAGTATATAAAAACTGTGCCAAATTTAATCATATATTATAATTAGATGTACAAACGTATTACCATGAGGTAATATAATAAATGTTTTCTACAATTTTTTTACAAATTAAATTGTGGATACTATTAAGATTTCTGTTTTTGAACACTACAATTTAAATTGAAATATTCATTTTAGAAACAAACAGTACCAAAACTCAAGGTCAGAATAAAAACTGAAGTATAAAAATATCAAGAATAAACATTTGTGAACTAAGAGAGTAAATAACTAAAAAAACAATATAATCTTTCATTACTGACCAATATTTGAAATTAATTATTATAAATATTTTGGTGCAAACATAGATACTTTTAAATAACTTGTCAATACCATAATAATAAAATAATTTTTTTTTCACTTTTTAGAATGGAGATTACAAACTGAATTACTCTTTGTATCGCCTTTGTTTTGCAAATTTCCTCTTAGGACGTTTCCCTAATGGACCTGGACAATATGTGTTTGGATGCGCAATTAAGGAACCTGCCACATTTCCAATAGACTATACAGCAATGAATGCAAAGCCAGAAGATTTAGAATGCTTTTCCCTTCTTGAAAGGGCCTCATCAAATAGAAGTTCAATAATTGTATGAAATCAATGCTGAATCTGTTTTAATTTTGTATTTATTTATCGATAACCAGAAAAAAATGTATCTGTTTTTATTAAGTTTTTAATAGTTAACTATTTAATGTAATAATCGTGTATATACTGTTATATAAATTTTAAAAAAACTGTAACACTATTTATTTAAATGACACTCATCGCTTTCCTCTGAATTCATTATCAGTAAATTTAACTATACAGAATTCAGTAGGTAAATGGAGATGTAAGCCTCCTACATTCAATCAAAAACAAATTTTGTTATTGCTAAAAGGACAAGTTTTGTAAGAAACATTAATAAAGCATGGATATAATATAAAATGTTTCTGAAAACCCTAATTTCATTACATTAATTAAAAACAGTTTTACAATTAATAAAAATAAATAAATTCTATAAGAAATAATAATACCTAAAGGTACTTTTAATGGCATAAATCTTACAGAAATGATGAAACATTCATGCCAGATCATCCTCTATCGCTTATTGAAAAATTGCTATTTAATCATCTTTGAGGTGAAATAAAATAATTGTAGCAGATAGCTGTTATATATATATTATATGTTGTTTTTTTTTCAGTGGATGAAATGTCCAGACATATAAAGTTTGACTAAAAACATGTTGGTAAACAAAATAATAAAATTATGTTACTCTTTGAAGACTACAAACCAGAACTTTTATGATTTTAACGATTTGCTATATATTCTTGAAATATTTGTTCGCAACATGAACTATTTTAAAAGTTTTTTTCTTACTTGTTCTTATGAATAACACATTTCAAAAATATGACCAATACAAAACATTGATTCAATAAGTATGGCCTGAAATAATAAAAAATAAATAAATAAAAAGAGTATAAATAATTCTGATGACTAGGTTTTATTCATAAATTTGGGGGGATGAAGTTTCATATGGACATTTTTACTGCTTTCTTTTCATTTTCCTTGTGATAAAATTATTATTAGTATCAGAAAGAGAGATTTGGTATCTACTAAGATTTACAACACAGTACTGAAATAGGTTTAATAGATTGACAATGGCTCGATTCCACCTAGGCCAGAGAGTTAACTATATTGTAATGGTTTGGCGAAATAAATCTCGTTATTCTGTAATTGATTAAATTTGTGTTTGATCAAATGATTCTAACTTCAAGATAGCCATGTAAGCATAGATAGGATGTGCCAATCTACAATTAAGGAGATTAAGCCAGTTCCCAGTTCATAAATGCATTATTATAAAATAATCAATAATAAAATTCTTTCTCTTTTTTATTATTATACAACATGATTGCAACTGCAATGTAAGCTTGCAGTTTTCGAAAATATCCAGAACTATTTCAATTGAAGGCAGAACTTGGAACAGCAAAAAATTTTTAGCTTTAAAGAGGTAAGGTTCTAGGAGAATTAGATCAAATCCCAGATTAACAGCTCTTGACTCGGAAACCAGGCATAAAAGTTTCAAGATTTTAAAAAATAAAGATAAAATATACTGTCAAAAATTATGTTGCTAATTTAAAACAAATAAGGAATAAGATATAAAGTAGGAATAAAATATATATTCACTAACTTACAAAATAAAATTAATATAAAAAAAATATTATATTGCTATTTATTATACAATGTTTTTATATACAAGCATATAATATGTTTTTTTAAAAAAATAACAATACAATGATTTATTAATCCTACACAAATAACAATCAACAAATCAACATAAAAATTTCAACAAAATGTTATCATAACAAATAAATAATACAATACATTAATGGCATTCAACACAAATATTTACATACATGTTTATATCATACACAAAATGATACACCAATAAGATTCAATGATTTGCCTTTTCTTCTTAGAAGAGAAAATGCATGTTAAGGCTGCCCTAAAATCTAAATTTAAGATAATTTGTTATGCTTAGGAAATATTTGAAAGAGAATGTTCTGAACTGAACACACACTAAACGTAGTTGCCAATTCCAAGTAAAAAGAAATTTAAACGTATTTTATAAATATTTTCATGAATTAAATTTATAAAACATCTGAAGAGTATATGTTTCAGGAACAATGTAGTTATCAATAAATATTAACAAATTATTGATATCAAACAAGCATCATTCAACAAGAAGTTTTACATTTTAAAATAGCACAGTAAAAAAAAAAATGGCAATAAGCATGTACGTATTGATTAATAATTAATAATTTCTTTGTTCCAACTTTATTCTAAACTGTAGAAAAAACTATATTTGCCACACAGTGACAAAAGGAAATAAAATATTAATTTAATGATAAGAATGACATACATCATATGTCACTATGTTAGTAAAAATAAAAAAAAAGAAATTTTCAAAAGCAAACAGAGCTTTTAATAATATTGAAAGTAGTTTGTTCACTTTTTATTTATTATATTTTAAATGTGCTAAGGTAAAAAAAAAAAAATGACTGATCTTAATGTTAAGGCCACCCTTTCCCGAAACTAAGAAAATGTTTTAATCTAAAGCTCTGATTAATCATCATGCAGTCCTGATGTAAAACCTATTGAACGAATACAAAGGTATCCAACAATACCAGAATTGCTAAGCATAAAGGATTTTGCTTATGGAAGAATACTTCAATATTTCATAATACTTCAATTTGCATAAAAAAAAAATAATAATTTCATTTCATCAGGAGTCATTAAAGTGAAAGAGGAAATCACTTTGCAATATTCTATTTATTCTGGAGTTTATAATAAAAAAAATTAATAATAATAAATTTATATATAGAGAGAGAGCATTATCTTTAAGGACTTTTACAGTATAATTAATTATTATTAATAGATTGTCAACAAACATTTAGTAGAATATAAAATCATGATTTCAGTTATAATATTAAACAATAATGGTCCCAAGGAGTTCAGAAATCTAATTTAAAAAACTTTATTGGAGTCACTTCAATAATATTTTCAAAACCTCCTTAGGTTAATAATGAATATTAGGTAATAAGCCATTTAAAAAACAAAGAAAAGGAAACAACTCAAATTCAAATTATGATACATAAGATGATAATTTTTAAAAAAATAATTTATATTTTTAAGGATATTTCTGATTTTATTTAATTAAATAGTTACTCATATGATTAATAAAAAAAAAAATAGTTTATTAAAAACCAGAAATATGAACGAAGGGTGGCCAATTTATTTCTATTTCTAATTATCAGTAAAGTATTATTTACAAATATAAGAAAAAGTAAATAACCAATGTGAGTAAAGTTAATTAACCCACAAAAAGTCCTAGTTTAATTATTGATATAAATTGACAATGTAAAGACACCCATAATTAAACATAATGTGTTATCTTAATCTAGTTAATTGAGTGGGAGAGAGCTATTTGTAAGGCACAGATCAAAACAACAGATGGTGTAATTGTTGATTAATTGTTGTAATCGTTGATAATAGCATAGTTATTATTCCTACATGTTTTCATCATGAAAAAAAAGTTCAGTGTACTCAGTTCAAACATATTCTCTTTTGAAACTAACAGAGATTCTATAAAAATAAGCCTCGTAGAACCATACTTAAAGGTTCTAAGAAATTAATTGTCAAAACATTTTAAGCAAAGAGGTAGATGTTAATTTTTTACATTTCTTTATTGATTTAAAATAATTAAAATATTGCATTTTGTTCCAAAATGAATGATTATTCCGTTATGTGCAAAAGCACTAAATTCATATTATAAAAATATATATTTCATTCATGAAGTTATTGCAAAGCTGTTCCACTAATATATACTAAAAATCAAAAGAGCTGTGATGACTGCGTGTCCTATTAGTAGTAAAATATTATTTGATAGTGATTAGATTCTGAACATTATATATCACTATACATCAAAGAAATTATTGCTTTGACAAGTGATGACTCTCAAAAATAAGAAACTACTTCAAATACACAAATTTCAGGAAACTAATATTACATAAATATGAGAAGCTATTATTTAACAAAAAGAAGTAAATAAATGATCATTCCAATACTGACAATATGCATCATAACAATTTAATTATTATCATATCCTATATTTTAATTATAATTAATTATTCTAGCTACAATATAAAAAAGAAAAAAATTGAAATAATAACAATAACTGCCACACTAACAGCAAGCTAAAATCAATAAAGCAAGGAAATTTACACAAAACCATATTTTAAAATAATGCTTGCTATTCCATTTCATTATATGTACATATTCTGAAATCAATATTTCTTAATGGTCCCACAAAATAGGGTCTAAAATGCTTTTAGACATTTCATCATTTAAAACTAGTGTACTAGTAATACAAATATGAGAAGTTATTGATAGAAGGCAATTATTGAAAATGAAATTTGCAGCAAGCTAATTATTTCTCTTGGAATCTAAATATCAATAAACTGAAATTAAATATAAGTTTCCTATATAGAAAGCATTATATAAATAATGAATAAATAGAAGCCATCACTAATTCCTGTAAATTATTACTGGTTTATATAGTGATATGGTAACTTCTCAAACATTTAAGTTTATGAAATTATGTATTTTATGACCAAGAAGTTACATAATGCAAAAGCAGGTTAATTCTAGCGACCAGACGATACCAGGGATACTCAATAGTATAAAATATGTTTGAATGAAGTAAGATATAACATCATAAATTATATAACATAATAACTCTTCATAAATATCACTTCCCATAACACATAAAGTAGATTCCTGATAATTTGCATTTAAAAGATAAAATTTTAATATTTAAATAAAAAACAGTTTCTAATTTAACTGTAATGTAGTATCTTCATAATAACTGCGAAATCCAAAATACACAAAAGAAAGCTCTAGGATTATTAATATTTCCAATCGGCCACAAAGTTAAAATTAGTTATTGGAATTAATTGACTTAACCGTTTCACTTGCTATTGTAATAGCCAACTAAGAGCTAGGATGAACTAAGCCATTTTCAAGTCATGATAAAATAAGAACTAAGTTCTACAAAATAAGGACAAAACAATGGCCTAAATTACTGAAGTAACAATGATTTATTGTTACTTCATTGGCTATATGGTAAAGAGTGACACAAAAAGAATAGAGAAAAAATACAAACACACACAAAAAAATTGATATTGCTTCAAATAAAAATACAATTGAAGATCGATAACTCATATATGTGATACAGATAACTATTGTTTTATCTGTTAGTTAAAATAATAAACTACATATGATCAAATGAATAATTCATGTTATTAATGGTAGAAATATATTTCTTATTAATCGACCTTGCACTTTAATAAAATAAGCGATTACCATGGATAAAATTTTTTCTACCCTCTTTAAGACCCCTCTGTCATTATCCTAGATAATGAAGGTTGTCTATCTTTAAAAACATCAGTTATGTATCCTTTTTTTCCACAAAGATATACACAACCCATGGAATATTGACCAGAAAGTGGACTGTTTGTGCTCTGCATAGTTTTTTCCTCATTAACAGAAGGATCAGTGATAAAAAAAATCCCCTGTTAATGTACGTTAAATATAAAAAAATCAGTCTTCAAAGTGTTTAAAAAAGATTATTTTTCAATTTTCGGTACAGTATAAAAAAATGTCAAATCAGTTCACAACAGATAATTTGAGATTTTCTAAAATATACTTTTATTACAATCCTATCAGACACAAATTATAAGGAGTCTACTGTATTATGACACCCTTAATCAATCAAATACAAAAAGTTCCTTCCCATAAGACAGTTGGGTAAAAATATATCTATACCTAATCTTAAAATAGTTTACGTATCTCAGTCAAAGGTAATCTCTAAATACGTATTTACAAATCATTAATTCTTTTCATGAAAAGAATTTTATCTATTCCCTACACTGGTTATGAAAATATAAAATAAATGATTTTTTTTCTCAAGGGTTGAAAGTTACATAAAACATAAATTTTAACTAAAATTTATATACAATACCAATTACATTATTGACAATATTTAAATGCCCACTATAACTCAGCAATATGATTAATCATAAATTTATTTTATAGGTTAGCAACAAAAGATTGATTGACAAAAATGAAATAATGCAAATAAATACAATGATTGGAAGTCAACAATAAATTTTGTCAACACAAAGATATTAAATAATAATTAAAATAATAAAGCTGGGAAAAGGTATCTTATCATAAGAAATATAGGAAATATAACTGATTAATTTTTCATATTTTCTTAATAAAAAGCTGATATGAAACTTTGACCATTTGAATGGGAGCATCTAACGAAAAATTCAGGTCCCTAAGCTTGTAAATATATAATGTTGCCTTGGTACAAAAACTAATATTTCATAATTGAAGGAAGATAGAAAGCTATTGAAGGCACTTTAAGAGAACAGGTTTAAATTAATAATAACAATACATTTCTGCACAACAGTATTCAACAAAGATTTTTGTTAATTTGTAACAACTTTATTTGAATACGCAAATTTATACAAGCCTCACTCTCTGCTGATATGCTGTCAATTAAACTGTTTTTCTGAGCCTAAAACAAAATTACAAACATTACTTTTATAATAAATCAATAAAAATAGAACAGCTATGTTTTTATTTTTAAAGCAGTAAAACTTCTCAGTAGAGGACAACTATGGGAATCAAATATTATCCGCTAAACAAAGATGTCAGAGAAACAGGATGTAAAACAGAATAAAAATTAGTAGATTAAAATAGTATAAATAAATAATAAGACATATAAATAAAATTATTTATTCATTTAAAGAACATTTTTATTTGAAAATTTCCAATTAATAAATATTTTTATGAGAAATAATGTATTTTATCACAGCCCTACACTTAAAACATAAACTTTAAATATTTCAAATCACCTAAATTAATAATCAGTAATTTTTTAATAAGATCAGTGAAATTCCTTCACTGTATTCCTTTGAAATACAATTTTTTTTTTTTTCAACCACTAGTTTGTGATGGAGGTTGTTCCGCCTTCTTGAGAGGGAGAAATTCATTATTTTTAGATTAGAGAAATTAAGTTCACTTGCAAGACAATGATCATGAAAATGTATTGTTTCTTGACATGTGAAGTTAGTAATATTGAAATTTCAGAGTGAGTACTGGAGGATTAAGGTATGAGCACAGAAAAACCATCCACATATTACTTGATATGTATCAGAATAAATCTATAAAATATATGTGAAATTTGAAGATTTAGATTTTTTTTTTTTTAACTTAACATTTCCGTGTTGGGTGTACTCTTCATTTTTTTTTTGTTTAAAGTTAATTGGGTAGAATCAACAATAAAATCTATAAGATAATTAACAACAAAAGATTAAAATTGTAATCCCTCATTTAAAACCTAATTTCAAGTACACATAACTTAACTCAGCCTCCATTAGTTGGATAAATGTTTTCAGAATATAAGCCTCACTGTTCGTTAAGAGAACTTCGATTAAGCAGAAGTCATCTATACTGTAAAATTACTGATGGGGATTATTGAGTATAGATTTCTCCACTATAGGGAAGTGTCCACTAGAGAAAGTTTCATTGTATATACATAAGGTTGATTTTCATTTTCTTTTTTTGGACAAATTGAGTTTTTTTTACCTAGCTATCCTTGTATAGTAAAAAAATAAGAGTTGGAAGTTTGACTGGTTGAAAAATTTATGCTTATGAACTGAGGTTGCCATAAAAAATAGTTGTTTACATTTTGATAACAAAAACTGAAGTTAATGTCAGATTATATAACTGTACATATATTTTTTTTTATTTCTTAATGATACTTACAACTGTATTAAAAAAATACATTTAGTAAATTTGAACATATGGATAAATAATGAAACACTTGCTGAGTAACTACCCAATGGTAGCTCTCTAAAGATATGTCTACATTAGGAGATCACGGGGCCATCTTCTTTTCGGACGCCTCAGTGGGTTATCAGGAATTGAAGAGGAAGCTAGGTTAGAGGGTTGGGATGATTCTGAAGTTTATTATGGAAGGATAGGTATCTGGATTGGGCCAGATCTGAAACATAAGAAACATTAAGGTCATTATGGATGGTTTTATTTATGACAAAATAAGGTGCATTGAGGATTTTACGAAGGATTTTGGATTGTAAGGAATGGATACGAGAGGAATTCGATGGTTTAGTGAAGCCCAATAACACAACTCCATAAGTCCACATAGGCCTTATTACAGTCATGCATATGAGTCTTTTGTAATTAATTGGAAGTTTAGAGCGTTTGTCTAGTAAGTGCTGAAGAAATCGGAAACATCGAGCGGTTTCTTGTCGTTTCAATCTGGTTTGAATAATATATATAAACTTCAGTTTATATCAGTATATCAGTTATTCCACCATTTTACTAAGCTGGCACAAAAGTACAGATTTTAAGCCAATTGAAAATAACTAAAATGTAACAAAACTCAGGAAAACTAATACAAAAAAAAAAAAAGATTGTAAAATGAAAACAATTTTCATTGTAAAATGTCTATCTGGTTTCAAAAACTATGTACTCTAATTTAAAAAACAATATGGCGTATGCAGCAGTATGTAAAATGAAATTTTAGTATAAATGCTCTAAATATAAAATATGAACAAGAATGTTAGTTGTTAAAAATTAAACAAAATGAAAAATTTGTATTGCTTTTAATTATATACAGCATAACTGAAATGAAATTCAAATAAGTACGTTAGACCAAAAAACAGATAAAACCTACAACATTTATACAAATTTACAAGTTGATACTAGATATGTCTGATTTCTGATTTCCTAGGATTACTGTATAAAATCGTATAGGCACAACTAAAAAATAACTAAGTTAATTTTTATTTTTTTCTGAGAGTGTGATATGATTTCTTAAAGTTGATTAAATCATTTCTCAACATTGGTAATCAATAATAATACTAAAACTAGTTCTAATAAGTCACCTACCTGAAGCTTTTTAGTTTCTTCTTTTAATTCTAATTTTCTTTTCCAGAGACCATTCAACTCAACATTTGATGGACAATTTTCATCATCAGAACTATCAGATATATTGCACCTATGAAACAAATTTAATAACAATAAAAAATTATTATTATAATTAATATATCATATAAGTTATTATGAATATAGTCTTTTTTTTTTAAGTGAAAACTTCTGCGTGTTTTGCACTTTTTTTTGTGGAGAGTGAATTAGATTGAGCCATCAGATCTGTGATATGTAACACTCTGATAAAGTCCTCTGGAGTCGATTAATTGAAGTGTTTTTGCAAAATGAATTAAAATATCTCAAAAACTAACAATCGGACCTGTATATTGTTGACAAGGGAAATGTTCATTATTTCATCCTCTTTGTAATGAGCTATTATTCAAAATTGTGTCCCAACATGACACCGTGTTCGATGCAAAAAGGAAAAAAATAGTGCTGAAATCCAAATGATAACAAGTTTTATTGAAGATACGGATTAAAATATCTCAAAAACTAAAAATTGGACATACATAATGGATGCAAGGGGATTGTTCAGCATTTTATCCTCACTGCAATGTGCTATTATTCAAAATTGTGTTTTAACGCAATGCCGTATTAGAGAGACAAAAAAGGGGGAAAATATTGTTTTATGTAAGTAAAGGAAGAAATTTTTTTATGTAAGTTCTTTTATTTTGTTGAGCAATCTCTTAAATCAATCAGAAATACATAAAGCAATGACTGAAATGAACTTTCCTCCAAAAATAATCTGCCTCATTAGATTAATGACGAAAAATAATATCAATTCCTTAGAAAGGATATTTGGAGGGATGTTCAGTGAATTTTAATAATCGACAAACATGGGGGCACGGCAGGAAGATGGGCTGTTTGGTTTTGGGGATTTTAGAAAGCCCTAAGAACTCTGAGATCCAGGCATCCGGGACTCTAATAAATCATCTCGTAAAAAAGTTGATACTAAATCGAAAAAATAAAAAAGATACATTAAAAAAAAAAAAAGTTCTGAGAAAAATATATGGGCCATTTTTTCAGAATAATGTATGGAGAAGAACAAATCTAGAGCTGAAATCTATATACAATGAGTACTGTATGAACATATAGGACCCATTAATGAAGTTTATATAAGATTTGCTTGTTTTGGGCTTTTATAATTTTTTTTTGTTTCCTATAACATTCATAATATAAATTTTTACTAACAAAAACTATATTAAAATAAAATATACATCGGCTCAATCCAAATATTCTCAGATACTACATTATAGATTATAATGAATCAGTTAATTAACACATATTATTGAATAAATGAATGAGAAATTAATAATATTAATTAATAATAATATTAATTAATTAATGAGAAATGCTTTATTAAATATGTATACATTATAAATTTCCAAAATAAAAAGAACATTTATACGGCATGATTAATCATCTGCCGGAAACACATTTTATTGCAAATATATCTATTAAAGAATAAATATAACCTCAAGATATTGGGGATGTTATAGCTTTCTTCTAAGATTTTGCAGGATTCTCATTATTAAATAAAGTAATGGAATATTTGAACAGCCAATTTTGAAAGTTTATGAATATGAATATGATTGGAAAATCGTGGGATAGAAAAAATTATTAATCTTTTTACAGCTTAATGCACAACTATCAATATACACTGACAACCCAGGAAGCAGAATAATATCTATTTAATTCCTTAAGAATCTCAGGTAACTTCAATTAAATACTCTATAACAATGATTACAACAACAAAGTTTACCATGTATAAGGTATTCCCCCAAGTGCATGTATACTGTTTTTTATTCGGTTAACCTCCTTCTGCTCAACTTCTAATTCTTCTCTTAATCTATTGATGGCTAACATTAGTTCTTCAGTTTCTATTAACGCTTTCTGTTTTTTTTCTGCTTTTTCAGTTGCCTCACGGTTAATATCTTGTACTTCTAAAGATTCTGCAGTCATAACTAGAAAAAAAATAAATAAATTTTCATATAATAATATGAAATACAAAATAAAAATATCTTAGAGCAGTACAAAAGGTTTGTTTAGAATTGTTATGTAAACTATTTAAATACATCATGGATCAGGTGATGATCGGTATCATCTCTATTTTTTCTTATTTTTCATTTTACAATATAAAAATATGAATTGATTTATTGACATTAAAATTAAAATAAATCCAAGTAATTTATACGAATAAGCAGCATCATATAATATACATAACTATAGACAGATTTCATACAAATACAAATAAAAATCCGAAGCAGAGAAACAAGATATACATACATTGTCGTATTTCATATATCCACACTAATATATAAAACATTTAAATAAAAGTATTCATGTAATTTATAAAATAAGATATAATTTGGTACCTTGTTGAAACCAAACAGAAAATTAAGTAGCTCTTACCATTGATACTTATCATATAAGGTTTTTCATTTTACAGCATGTAAAACTACTTGCCACTATTCAAAAAAACAGAGAAAAAATCTGAAAAATATAGTTTTAACTGCCCTATGTATATGTATATGTATAAATATATATATAATATATAATACATTTTTTTTTTTTTCGGTTGGTGCTACAGACTATGACCACGAGTGTGGTCTCCTAGACCACATCCCGATTCCCGGTTCCCGAGGGGTGGGAGCATCAATCCTACGCCCGGTCGGTATGAGTTGCCTCCAGTAGACTGATGGGCCTCACATACCGGGGGGGGGGGAGAGGAATCTCGACCCATCCAAGTGCTAGCCATGCTCAACATTGCTTAACTTTAATTACCTATTGCAAGCGCCTTAGCCCGCAAGGCTACTCCAGCCCCTATATAATACGTATATATATATATATATATATATATATATATATATATATATATATATATATATATATATATAACTAACTTATGGATCAGAGACCTGTATCTTCACTTGTAACGAAGAGAGGGAGATTCTTATACTTGAATGAAAAATCTTTCAACAAATATTTTAGCTGGGAAGAGTTGAAGTGGACTGGAGGCAGAGGACGAAAAGTGAAATTTACCATCTTTATGGTGAGGCTGATGTAATGAGATTAATTAGGTTGGGAAAACTGCAAACAGCTGGCCATATTGTACGCATGCTGTAGGAGAAAATACTCAGGAAAGTGATGGATGAGAGTGTGAGTATTTGAGGCTAAATAATTATCTAAAATAATTTAAAAGGAAAAGACTTATGAATTTTCAATATTTTAGTTTCCTGGACAAAACTGATATAGGCTTTACCAGCCTTAAGCTACGTATTAAATAAACAGGAGAAAAAAAAAAGGAACTATAGCTCAATATTTCCAAAAATAGTTATCTATTATATAGCCAAACTTACATATAAAGTCTTATGGTTTAACAAATCAGTTGCTATAAATGACTATAAATATAAATGACATTAAGCAAAACCTTTTTCCAGACTTTAGAATAAATTATCAGAAATTTGGATAATCAGACATGTATATTTTGATTCTAAGGGACTGAGATTATCCATCACACTGTGACTATACTGGCAGGATAAAATTTTGGAAATAGTAATAATGATAAAAGACTTAGCGAACCCGATAACTGAACCGAAGGTTCAATGCCGACACCACCAATCGCTTATTACACACCTCACTTCACCATTCGCCATCCAAACCTAGTCCCTTCAGATCAGCTTTAATGCAATCTTCCCACCTTCGCTTCGGTCTACCCCTCGGACGTTTACCATTCGGTACAGCAAATATTAACCTTTTAGGAATTCTCTCGTTACTAAGCCCAACAATTTTACAAGACCATTTGATTCGCTGGGAATAAATCAACTCAATTAAATTACCCGGATACAGTTCACGCAATTCGGGATTATGGAACGGTCTGAATTCTTCGGTTAATTCATCCTTCTTTGGTCTGAATATTCTACACAATATTTTATTTTTAAAAACCTTAAGACGTTGCTCATCCCTTAACATAAGCGGCCACATTTCGCAACCATAAAGAACTGTAGGTAAGACGGTGGTTTTATAGATTCTAATTTTTAAGTTCCAGGACAAGAGGCGCGAGCTAAGTAGTTTTGTCACTGAAAAATAACAACCATTTCCCGCCTTCAGTCTAACCTTAATCTCTTCTTCAATTTCGTTTTTATGTTGTCCCACCCAGATTCAACCCTTTTTCGGTACGCATTACCTCCCTAATGACATGTTCTAATGCCAAATTGAACAGGACCGGAGAACCTCAAATTTTCGGACAGATTATTACCGATTCTAATTTTATTGAGTGTTTCTGTCAAGCACATCCAGACTAGATTTACTAGTTTTTTTGGAATCCTCTGCTCGATTAGAATATTATACAGTTTCTGGCAGTCAATAGAATCGTATGCCTTTTTGAAATCGATTTACAGTTGGTGAACAATACCGTCGTACTCTAATTTTTTCTCTAATATTTGCCATAAAGAAAATATTTGATCAATAGTCAAACAATTCCGTCTAAATCTGCATTGGTAGTCTCCAATAATTTCCTCGGTGTATTACGTGATTCTACTAGTTAAGATTAAAGTGAATATTTTATAACATACCGGAAGGAGTGAAATTCCTCGATAGTTATTACAATCCGTCCTCGGGCCCTTTTTGTGAATCAGAATAAGAATAGATTCTTTCTATTCTTCAGGTAATTTCTCATTCTCCCAGATCTTTTTAACCAAACAATGTACACTAACAGGCAAAAAATTCCACCCACTTGTTTCCCATTGAGGAACCACGTTGGAAAGGTTGGCTCTGGGAAAAATTACAGGCTGCATATCTTTCGTTTCTTCTTCACCACACCCTTTCACGCCCGTCTGGTGATCGAAGAGCAAATCTTGACTCATCTGTAAAAAGTACAGCACTCCATTCGTCCATAGTCCAATGGCTGTGTTCTCGAGCAAAAGCCAGCCGTGTTACTCTGTGAGTTCTGGTCAACTCTGGTCCTCTTAATGAACGAAAAGCCATTAATCCATACTCATTTAATCTTCTCCGAGTGGTACGTTCAGAAATTTGCTCACCTCGAACTTCTTCGAGCTGATGAATCGCTTGAACAACGGTAAGACGCTGGTTTCGTAAAATTCTCAAAGTCAAAAACCGGTCATCCAGTGGTTCTGTTACCCTAGGCAGTCCAGAACCGGGCCTTCTATTGTAAGAACCAGTTTCCCAAAAACGCCTGACGGTGTCTTGTAAAGTTTCATATGGAACTCTGATGACATTAGCTGCATATCTAATGGATCGGCCATCATCAATAAGTGCCTCCTTAGCATAACATCCTCAGCACTAAGAGACATTTTTAAACTTAATATCGAAAAAATTAAAAGCCGGAGACTAAGAAATGTTCTGCAAGAAACGGCACTGAACTAATGATACTGAATAAACAATTTGATTCCATAGAAAGTAAACATTGGAATCTAAAATTATTTCATTGAATTAAGGATTAAGGGTTATTGTCCTCTATATTAACATTCCTAATTGAAAACAAACAAAAAGATTACCTATTTATTCATTAAAAACAATAGACCAATCCAAAGCAGAACTATTTTTAGATGAAAACATGAAAAGTGGAATCGAGTGGGTGGAATTTTTTGCCTGTCGGTGTATTTTAGAAACTCTAGCTTCCCCGCATGCCTTAATTAGTTCAGTAGAAATATTATCGGTTCCTGCTGCTTTATAAGATTTTAATTTTCCGATAGCTACTTCAACTTCCTCTTTACTCAGTTCTTCTATCAATGGTTCAGCACTCTGGTACTCTCAAGGAAGACACAGATCATAATTTCTCTAATTTAAAATATTGTCAAAGTGGTCCTTAAACTTATTCAATATGTCAACCGGATCAGTCATAATGTTGCTATTATCATCCCTAATTCCAGACGTTACGGGCCCTGTTTATACCTTTGTACATGTCTCTTACGTTATTTTCGATTCTATTAGTTTCTATTTCAATTATTTTATTTTTAAGGTACTCCTTTTTTTTATTTTTGAGTAATTTTGTCGTTTCATCCTTAGAGATTCGGAAGTATTCCAGATTGTCTCCATTAGGATTATTTAGAGCTTTTAATTTAACGGCTTTTGTTTTTTCACACATGTTTAAGCAATCTTCATCAAACCACGGTTTGTTATTCTTATTTCTTTTTTTCCTAGACACGAGTTATCAACCGCTTTAATATTATCCCTGATCTCTACCCATAACTTGTCAACATCCTCGCGGTCCTCGCCAGAAAGCTGTAAAGCTTCAAACCTATTCTTAATATCTAGCTCTTATTGGATTCTAATTGATGGATTTTTTAATTTTTCTAAATTAAAATTCTCAAAATCGAAACGGTTTTCTTTTCTCTTTTTTATATTAAGTTTTTGTCTAAGTTTCGCGATTACTAATTCATGATCTGACCCTCATTCTGCTCTGCGATAAGACCATACATTAATTATACTGCTTTGCCAGCTATGTTGTATCAAGACATGATCGATTTGATTTTGTGTTTGCGAATCCGGCGATGTCGAAGTATATTTATGAATATCCTTATGTTTAAACGTAGTACTTTTAATTATCAGGTTTTTCGAGATGGCAAAGTTTATCAGACGGATCACATTATCATTACTATATTCGTGCAAACTTTCTTTACCAATCGTCAGAACATAAACTTCTTCCCTTCCCACCATTGCGTTTAAGTTACCTACAATTAGTTTCATGGAGTTTCGCGGTATTTATCATAAACCCATTCAAGTTTATCGTAAAATTTACATTTGACTTCATCACCACTGTCTTCAGTCCGACAACGCATGTTTATTAATGCGACTTTAAGCCAACGTAAATTAAATTAGATACCCGGTACCTAAACAATGATTCCCGCTTCCTCTGTACCAAATAGTGTACTTTCCTTTCCTCATTGAGCTCTCACCTGGCAAGCAAACCTCTTGCAGAGCCATGACATCCAAATTGTACCCCTTAGCCTCATCCGCGACCAATTTTAACCCCCCTGCTGTGTTTAAACTCCTTACGTTCCACGTATCATTATTTACATATTTAAATCACTATTTTTCAACTTGCACCATGAATTCTCTAAAGCAGCCCCCACCTGGAGACCTCAATGGGGGACTAGTTTACCTCCGGATGTGAGTAGGGCGTTCAATCCTAAGTCACCTCCTCCAGCAAGTCTGGAGGTCTTCTCCCTCCAGCAAATCTGGAGGGCCCCTCTCATTGTTGGTCAGAGAGTCCATCGAACTTAGCCGGGAGGAACTTCCAAGGAATTTCCACCGACCATCCCCACACCCGCCACCCGTGGGACGCTCCCCACACGCGGTAATGAGCCCGTGTGGGGATTATCCATCACACTGTGACCATACTGGCAGGATAAAATTTTGGAAATGAGGCAATGGTTAAGGCTGTTCAATAGTGGAAGACAAGATTGTCAGATAAAAACATGTATTTTAACTGCACAAAATTAGAAGCTGGTTAATGTTAATATATAAATTTAACTACTAACCTTTGGTAGGGCGAATCTGAGATAAAGGCAAAGGAGAGGGGTCATCTGAGACAGGAGTAAATGAATCAGGCCTATTCTCTTCAGAAGTCCACAGGGGAAGGTCAACTGAAGTCTGTCTAGGACTTCTTCTTTCTAAAGAGCTCCAAGCCCCTTCTGTTTTTTTTCTCCGAATATCATCTAAAGAACTCCAAGCATTGTCTTCTACATTCTTCGAGCCCTTCTCTTCCACTGGTGCCCATGGGCCTGTATCTTCAGAATGCTTCCTAGAATTTACCTGCTGTCCTTCATCTAAGGATGTCCAAGGGCTTTCTTCTCCTTTTTTAGGAGTACTATCATCTTTTCTAGAAGTTATACTTGGTTCATCAGCACGAAGAGAGGTATCTGTATCATCTAAGCTTCTTTGACCATAATTCCTTTCTAAAGCACGCAGCCTTCTCTATAAAATAATTAATAATTATATCATGTTAATTACAATTTTTAATTTATATACCAGAACAAAATATTTAAATAAAAAGAGAGAGATTAAGTAAAGGAGAAGGATTAAAATGATAGTGATTTAAGTTTAAGATCTCTTTAAAGAAATGAATGTCTTTAAATGTACTTAAATGCAGTCTCAGAACTTCATACATTAAGACAGATTTGACAGTAAGTAAACATCCTCTAATATGTAGGAACTATGAAGTAAAAACTATTAGAGCTATACAGTATGCTTTATACAGTTTTTAAGCATTTATTTTTTTCTCATGTAACATTTATCAAAATGAAGCTAACGAGGTTTTCATCGTATACTGTTGATATGTATACAGAAATTATATCATTTAAGTACATTTAGGAAACATACATTCCTTGGAAAAAAGATAATTTGATTTACAGCTTAAAAGTAATACCTTCAGCTGGGTTATAATCCTTTGAACACCCCATAACTGTTCTTCCCTATCTTTACCAATAAGACCTTGATTCATTTCACGATGTATCTGTGCCAATAACGATTCTTGTTTAGCTAATTCTTCTGACAAGCCTTCTATGGTTTCAGGTAAAGTGGGACTAGTAGATGAAAGGGGTGGGATGTACCTACAGAAAAAAGGAACTAATTCGTCATAAATTCAATTTTTAAGAAGAAAAATAAAAATCGTAAATCAAAAGATTTCTATGATATGAGTTGATTCATACTTTGTTAATATAAGATTGGGATAGAGCTCAGAAACATGACATAATAAAGCAGTTAAAAGTCTTTGACTAGTTTGAAGAAGTGGACTGATTGTCATTGAAATCGACTGAGCATTCATCTTGTTATATTTCTCCTATAAAAAAAATATATATATATATATTATTAATATAACTTGCAAAATAAAAATTCAGAATAATAAAAAAAAATTAAGTATCTAATAATAATGTAAAATATAAAAAACTTGCATCAATCACTTAACAGAGGCCTTTTTAGCTCTGCCATCAGGTAGCTAAAACTACTTTGGGTCTGGTGGCACTGTACTAACAACTATATAGTAATGTGATCAATCTTCCTCTTTGCTCAGTCTAGAGAATGATGCTCAGCTACTGCTTTTGGATTAACTATTTTATAAGCTCTAAGTTCTTCAGGATATAGGTTCTTCATATTTTTAAAGAAAACCAGGGAGGATGCTATCTGAGGAAGAAGATGGCATCGTTCTATTCCTTAATAACGTGACTGCAACAGAAATGCCTGTACTACATTTATCTGTGGCTAAAGGTATTATTAGACGTAGGATCAAAATGGGATTGCCAGTTGACTATTTTATGCTGAGATCTAAAATGGTCAAAGTTGATTTTTCTGAATTTATCAGTTTTATGTTTCCAAAGGCCATACAATTTATAGAGGCCATGGCTGAGCATATTAAAGCATTGCCAGCTTTAATATTCTCAAGTCTAGTAGCACCAGTTCCTATCCGGCCAGGGCAAGTTTAAATTTAATTTGTGGAGGACTCACAGAATGAGTCTCAACCTTCCCACTCTGGTTAGAATAGGTTTGGTTGAACCTCTAAAACAGGAGGTTGTGTATGCCAGAAATGGCAACTTAGGGGGGAAACGAAAGAAAAAATTCCATAGTAAATTTACCAGACAACTACATTATATTTTTTAGCTATTATTATTTTTATGGTTTCAACTTAACTTTTAGATTGTGAAGAGTGTTTACATGGAGTTTCCTCTTCAAATGAAGACAGAAGAACACCAAATCATCGCAGTATAAGAGAAATCATTTTGTAAAATGGGTGGAATAATTAGAAAAATGGGACACTGAATAATTAGAGCTACTGATTATGAAAATTAGATAAGCTGTTTGTCAAAAATCGATACATACTTTTAAACGGCTAAATCAAAGAAATTTAGTACAATAATTGTACTGAGTTTCAAGCTCAAATAGTTTCAAAATAATCATGGGAGCCCACCAAATAATTTGATCCATCTAACTTTAAAATCCCTTGTTACAGGAGGGTAAAAAGTCTGAGGTATTTTCAGTTTTTCTTTTTTAAATAATACAAATTTAACTTTAAAACAGAGTAAAGAATAAGGATACAATTTTTTTTTCTTCTAAAAGCTCAAGGTACGAGACATCTTAAAATTTTAAATAGAGTGATTGATAACCATATCACACTTGATAGTCTTGTCCTACTTCACTGGGGAGGAGTTTCACTTCAGGAGTTGAAATGGATTACATATACCTTATCCAGGAACTATTTTTGTTCAGAGATATGAACTTTTGGCTTTTGAATAATTTACAAGATTTAAGTATTTTAATATTTCTTTTAAAGTTTTTTAATCTTTTCTGATTTTTATTACCGCATTTAAATAAAATAACCAAGTAAATAACTAAAAGTATTTCAATAAGAATTCCATTCAATTACTTACACTGGCTGCAACATCATCGAAGTGCTTCAATAGCCAACCCAACAAAGCACGATTGCAGGATGGTAACTGGTCAATCAGCTCCCTGAGCTTAGCACCACATAACGATACTTCTTTAATTGCTCCTGCTTCTTCAAATTTAGAAAGCAATTCTGTCGTGAGAATAGGTTCTGGTAACTCTCTACAATAATGATAAATTTAGTAATATGATGGTTAGGGATAATTTTAATAATCATAAAAAAAATAAAAACCTCAAAAATTGTTTTAGAAGACTAGTTGAAACTGGCAAATCATAATCATGAAGGCATACAGATTCATGATTATTGTACATTTTCCGTACTTGTTGCACCCTAGATTTAATACCAGATATTTTATACACATTTTCAGCTGTTAAGCCTGCAATCAAAATGTTTGTAAATAATAATTAACTGTTCTTGTCTAACCAACATAATTTTAAAATGCTGTAGATACCTGTTTCCTGAATGTGATCAATGCAATTTCGGATAATGAGTGGTATGTCTACACCATCATGACATTTACTTCTTTCAACAGCAACTGACAATGGTACACCAAAAATAGGAAGATCCTCTACAACAATCATATTTCGTCACAATCAAACACATATTTTATACAATAAAAATAATCCACAAGTAAAACTTTTATTTCTAAATGATATATACCAGCAACTTCAACAATCTCTTCACAATGTTTTTTCTTCTTTTCTTTAGATTTTAATTTTATTTTTCCCTCTTTGTCTTTCTTCTTATCTTTTTCTTTTTCATCCTTTTTCTTGTCTTTGACATCTTCTTTATCTTTGCAATCCTTTTCCCTAGACTTTTCTCTTTTTTCTTTCTTAGAAGGAAACTTAAAAGGTTTTGACTTCTTTGACTTTGAGGGACTCCTTAAAATCAAACTCCATCAGAAAACAATTTATATAAGGACAAATCACAAGTAAAATAACAAATATAAATAGCACTTACTTAACTTCAGTTTCTTCTTCAGGAGAACTTTCTCCTTCGAGGGTGGCATAACCACGATCTTTTTTGTCTTTTTTATCTTTACGTTTACCAATCAGCAAATCTTTCTTAGAAATCTTTTCATGAGTCTCATCACTAACTAAAAATCGAATGATGCATCAAAATCAATCAGTTTATTAATATAATAAAACCACAATAAAAGGCACTTCTGATATGTGAGAATGGAATAAAATAAATATATTTAGAAACAATAATAATACCTACAGTCACTGTCATTGCTTCTTTTACCAGCATCAGAAGCATACAGTCCAGGAAATTCACGTTCAACGTCTGGGCTTTCGAATTCCATTATTGATCTTTGCCAAACGCCCTCAATTGATTAAAATTATAAGTCAAATATTCATGAAAATCTTCTGCATTCATCATTTCAAGGAAGGAAAATATTTTATCATTACATGAATGAGAAAGGAGGTTACTAATGTGATAACGGTTACCTTCTAAAGTGATCTATGACATATGGGTATTTAGGTAGTGGGTATTTACTTGTTACTAGGTTTATTTTCAATGTTTAATTTATGGTTCAAGTTCAGTTGGCAGCACGGTAGATGTTTGCTAGGCAGCCGTCTCCTAATCGACTAAGTTCTTTAATAAAGGTACTGGAACCTCACAGCTCAAGGTTGACTGATAAGGAAGTGTAAACAGCTGCTTGGGTTACTAATGATAACCCTAATGAGTTGTATACGTTGTGTGGGTGGATTGATAACTTTCAGTATGGTTCTGGTACTATCAACTTTTTTATCTTTGTGCCCTAGTTAAAGCATATGCTTATTCTTTCCTGCAATATTACACTTAAGACAAGGATTATTTGACAACTCCATTATAACAGATGGATGTTGCAAAATCATTTTTTGGCTCCAGGCCTCATGATGGATACAGTGGAAAAGAAGACTACAATGTAAGATTTCCTACTTTAATTTTGTCAGAGCATCTATTTTAATTGTTAAGCCTATAAATAATTTCCAGACAAAAGTGGAAACAGCAGTATCTGATGACGAAGAGATTACTGATTTTACTTCCTCACAACCTAGTAATGGACCTTTGGCTGAAGGTATTATTCCTACACCTGGGGGTCCTTTCTCAGCCCTTACCCCATCGATGTGGCCTCAAGACATTCTTTCTAAGTTAGGGCAGATACCAGATGATCCTAATTCACAGCCTGATTATAGGTAAATGATATGAATTTATAAAATATAACATTAATGGCCTAATTGATCTAAAACCAGTCGGTTTTTTAAAATAAATTTGTTTATTTAAATTACAATTGTTTTAGGTTTGATGAGTTTGGATTTCGAGTTGAAGAAGAAGATGGTCCAGAACAAAACTCTAATAAACTTCTAGGTGTGCCATTAATGGAAGATGCTCAAGATCGGTAATTATTTTTGAAAATTTTTATGACTAGAAACTGTTTGAAGAGTTTATACTTCAACACACTTGGCCATTACGTCCCCTGGATATAATTTGTACAAAGTATAGATGATGTTTTATTGTATAATTCAGAATAAGAGGTGGGTAATCCTGAAAATGGTTTCTGTCTCCTCCACTGCCTCCCTCCCTCTGTATTCAATATTTTACTCTATAATATAAGTGCCATTTACACTTCCTGACATGAGATAACAGATTGTGTGAATGGATTTTCCTTGTTTGATGTATTGAAAGGGAGAAAGGGTAGAATTTCTTTCCAATGTCATCCAAATCTGAGTCCAGAGTTTTCTTATTTTTTTCAAGAATTTTTCACATTGAAAGCCCAATTAAAGCGATTCCAAGTAACTGAGGTTTGGTAGTCACTGTATTACTGTCATAAAAATACAGATGAACTAGAATGAATGAAATGCAGCTCACTTTCTAGTGCTGGAGTCACAGCCTCACTACCTCATGACCCATTTGCTTTGGCTATGTTATCAAAATGGCTCTTAAGGTGGGAATGAAATCGATTATTATCGACCTTTACTACTGTTAAGTCCTTTGTATTAGGAACTCTCCAAACTTTTTGGCCTGCAAACCATATTGGCACCTCCACATCGTTCCACGGGTCATGATTGGTGATTTTAATAATAATGTAGATGTATTTTCTTAATTTTCTGTTAATGAAACTTGGAAAGTGTTTATAATTGATTTAAAAAAATTAATACTCCTTACTTTTTATCCATTCTGCAATCTTAATTTTTAAAAATCCAAGGAATTTTAATATTATGGCATAACATTTATTTTAAAATTTTCTAAAAATGAATTTAAATAATTATGTTTTTTAGTTTACAAACAATATATTTATACCAATTATTTATCAATCTAAACAAAGTTAGGAGGGGGGGGGGGGAAAGTCCTTCAGTGTGAATTTGTACTTTAATAAATATGTTTTAATTGATCGTCTGAAAAGAAGATGGCCTCGGGATCTTCTAATATAGAACTTTAATTTGAGTTCTACCAATGGGTAGTTTCTCTTCATGTTGTACATGCCATGTTACAAATTTCTCATTTACTTATTGTATTCTCTATGTAATACAGTTGTAAATTCCATTAAAATAATAAAAAAAAAAAAAATTATTGTTAGGATATAATTCAAAAATTCTTTTCACAAAGCATTAATTTTCTTAAAAAGGGTACCAGTCAATGTTTGAAACTTAGGCTTCTTTAGGGCAGAACCAACCCAAATGACATTTATGCAGACCAAATTAGCCAAAAAAGACACATTAACTATATAAATTGAATTCTTCTAATAAATATATACCAAGTTTTCACTAAGAAAAAATAATTTTAAATCTCATCATCATCATCATCATCATATTCTCTCCTCTCTTTGTCGTCCCATTTATTTCCTGGTCAACTTTTTCCTCTCTTCCCATCCACCTTGGCTTGAGAGACCTCTCTAGCAATTCTGGTAGGTTCCATTCTTAGGAGATGTCCCAGCCATCTTCGTCTGTTCTCTGCTATAACTTCATAGGCTGGTGTAACGTTGAGGTTCTCCCTAATTGTAGTGTTGCAGATTCGTAACTTTAGTAACTGTTATCTGACAAAAAAATATTACAGTTAATATAATATTAAGCCAATTACTGTTTGTTTTTATATTAAATCTCATATCCTTGACTACATTTAAAATGTTTAGATTCATCATGTAACTGTCAGTACTGTGTTCAATTGGTTTTTAAAACACCATTTGATTATCATTTTGATGTGATTATGGTATGATTTTGCTCTGTGCCAGCTAGTACGTTAGCCAGATACTGCTGGCTCATCAACTGTTGATTTGCAAATGAGCCCTGAGGATTGGTATAACCTTTAGCATAGTAGGTATTGTAGCAAGTGCAATGAAGGGTTTTAAACCTTCATTTAGTACTTGTGTAGACATTTTTTTTCGTAGATTTGAGCTGCAATAGAATCCAAATAATACAGTATGTATTTAGATTGAGATTATACTTTTTATATAATAAAAAAACAAAACATATCTAACTAAGAAGTTGAAATAACAGTGTGCCTGGTGGATGTGGTCTGAGACCATTGTAGTATGATGTGTTTGGCTGCTAAAAACGATACTGTCAAACTTTTCTCAATTCCACTTTATTAGCATTTAATAAAAGCTAATGAAATATATTTAAAATTAAATACCATATTAGTTTAAACTTATTTAAAACTGAGCCATAGTTTAAAGATCTTTGCACTTTACAGTATATAGTGTTATCAAAAAAGATTTAGTATGGAAAAAGCATAAATCTTTTTTATAAACACCTGCCCCTTATCTTAACTTCTATTATATTTTATTCTTCAAGTGTCTTCATACTAGATTTTCGGTGGTAGAGTTATTGGTACTTAAAATAACTTGATTTCTCCATAAGCCAAAATTTGTTTTCTATTTAACTTTCAATCAGTCCTGAATATAAAGGCTGTTTTTTTGATCTTTTTGATTAATTTAAAAATCTTTAAATTCTGTAACATTTGTTATCCTTATGATGATGCAGATTAAGTTATTCTATTGAAAATATTTTTATTAAAATATCAATTTATATTTTTTCTTATGTAAATTAGGTATATTTTTGTAATCATATTTTTGATCAGCCTTGTTTTAATTTTTTTTTTTTTTAGTCTGAAATGGTTAGCACATCTTGAATTCAGTCACAACAATGATTCAAGTGACTTGACTTGGGAAAGAGTTGAACTGAGACTTCCCAAGACTGACAAATTGCGACAGATGGCAAGAGAAGGCATTCCACATTCACTTAGACCACAACTTTGGATGAGGCTATCTGGTAATTTATTTTTTTCCAAATGCACAGAAATAATCAGTAATGTGGTGTTACATAATGCTTTTATTATTTTATAAGAGGTTTTAATTGCTGAACTCAAAATAGCTATACACTTAAAAAACCAATTCCTAAGTATGTCAGTTAATATTAATTTTTTTAACCTACCAGCAAAATAATCATTGTTCAATTCTGGTTGGAATTGGTAGTAATCTCTGAATAATAACATGGCCAAACAGCCAAAATAGACTAACAGGTCAACTTATCAGGGGTGTCCATTCCCTCCCAGGTCGATGGTGCAAGAACCTACTCCCCTCTTCCCAAGATATTTTATTGCTCACCTTTTCTTAAAAACAGAATAAGCTAAGGTAGAATTAGAAAAATCCTAGATAATATACAATTAAACTTGCTGTGGTATGTTCCATGTTTTCCCTCTTGTCTCTTAGTCCAAAAATTCATAACTCCATCAAAATTTGCCCCCCTCGAAAATTCAAAAACCCATCAAAATATAACCCCTCAAAAATTTTGATGACACAATATGTGGTATGAAACCCCTTTCTAGGCATCTCTGCAACTTATTATGCCTTCATTTTCCACCAGTACCCATCCTTATCTATCTCGTCTGAAACAATTGACAACTGACTCCTGAAAGTAGTAATAATTATTATTTTATTTGAAAGGAGCTGTTTTATTGAAATGCTCATTAAAAGAACAATAAAGAATTAAATTTAGAACAATAAAGAAAGAAAAAAAATTTTCATCTCTAAAAAATATTTTGAATTTTCGATATTCTCTATGTTGAGGTGGTTTGGAGAAGAAGATTAATTCTGAAATGAGCTATAGAGATATAGTTAAAGTTTCTAGTAATGATGCTTTGGCAACAAGTAAACAGATTGAAAAAGACTTACTTCGCACAATGCCAAGCAACGCCTGCTTTAGTAATATGAATAGTACTGGAGTTCCAAGGCTTCGAAGAGTTTTAAGAGGTTTAGCTTGGCTTTATCCAGATATAGGGTGAGATTTTTTTGTTATGTTGTATTAGCTATATTTATTGTTGATGTTTATATGTAATTAATATGCAATTCTAGTTACTGTCAAGGCACTGGTATGATGGCTGCTTCACTCCTTTTATTAATGGAAGAGGAAGATGCTTTTTGGATGATGTGTACAATAGTGGAAGACTTATTGCCTGCTTCATATTATTCATCTTCTTTAATTGGTAAGGTTGACCCCATTTGTTATAATTCTGTTGTATTTCCTTAAAGTCAGAAGTTAAAAATTGGTTTTAGTTTTTCAATTTTTTTTTTATACTTTCATTGTGGTATTTCGTAAGAATATCAATAATTACTTTTTAACTGTTAACTGACTCTTCTATTTCATTTATTGATTAAATAGAATTTTTATTTGTCCTTTTAGGTATTCAAGCTGATCAACGAGTGCTAAGAACATTAATATGCTCCTATCTACCTGATGTTGATATCACATTAAAACAGCATGACATTGAATTATCTCTCATCACATTGCACTGGTTTCTTACAGTCTTTGCTTCAGTTGTCCATATGAAAATTCTCCTTCGCATCTGGGACATGTTTTTTTTCGACGGTTCAATTGTTCTTTTTCAAATTACTCTTGGAATGCTTAAAATTAAAGGTTTGTCCTACTATTACTTACTTGTAAGATATTTAAGAACATAATTGTGGATATTATTATTTTTTGTTTTTCAGAACCCACTTTGAGAAATTTAGAAAATTCAGCTCAAATATTTAATGCATTATCTGACATACCTGGAGAAATAGATGATGTTGAACAGCTATTAAAGGTCTCTAAGAAATCTATATGCAATGTATCATAACCAATTTTAATCTTTATATCTAATATATATACTTTATTTTCTAGGTTTCTTTGGAAGTTGCCTGTTCTTTGACTGAAGTAGTGATTGAGACTCATAGACGAAGGCATCTTGCTTATCTCATGACTGACCAAGGAGCTCTTGTTGGAAACCCAGAATCTGCTCCAAACCTCCCTAAACAACATCTGACTAGGTTAGCAGCGATCATCCTTGGGTTTATAGCTAGTATTTTTTACCATTTGGGATTTGCCTGCGTCAAGATCCTTAATCCTTATAGGAGGAAGTAGTTAGTTTCATAGAATGGATACACCCTAACTGCACATATACTAACTAGTATTGTTATCACTTTTAATTATTAATAGCACTTTCAAAACTATATTAAAAAGTAAAAATATATTAATGTTACATTTAACAATTATATAACTAAGAATGATTACCTAGTAATCTCATTAAGTTCATTATTATAAAGCAAATTGTTAAGTTATTTTTTAATTTAACTTTGAATTGTTTTGAAGTTAAATCTTAATAATGTTATGAATTTTTTTCGGAATTATGATCTGATTACTAATATTTATAATTTTAACACTAATTATTAATGATTGTATTTAACCGGGAAATATTAATTAAAATGAAAATGAAAAGAAAACATTATTTTAACCATAAAAAATATGTTTTCACACTCATGGAATATGAAAAAAAATTACTAATTACTTGTAGCTTTTATTAGAAATATTGATAAGAATTTAGATCTGCAAGATTAATCTAACTCTAATTACTAATAGACTAAATAAGCTCTGATACCTGGTATAAATTTATCATGAACTCAATGCATACAGTAAAATCATTATAAAATCCGCTGTTTACAGTAACCCGTTGTTACTTAAAACAAACAGAACTTTGTATTTTTATACAAATGTTTAAACAAATTTTGAACATCTCTTTATCTCTAAAAAATAATTATCTATTTCAGTGGTTCCCAACTTGCTTTTAGGCTTTACATAGGGGGTGCTCCTCTTTTCCTTGATCAATGCATATCTAATAGAGTTATTTTTTAAATTTCTTAGATCCAGTTAGTCTGGGAGTTTTGAATAAGATATCAATCTGGGATTGATATTGTGTAATAAACTTATTACCCATCCTTTTATTAATATCTGTTTTTTGTTTTTTTTTATCCCTCACTTTTGGCAAAATGCCTCCCCTTGCGGGTTGGGGGCTGCTGATCAATCTCAATAAAAATTGTTATCACTTCTCATTTCTTAAACTTATTATTTTTTTTTTTTTTAACATTTTTCCCATATATTGTGGAGAAAAGTTATTTGATAAATTTATTCTTTTGGTCTGTAGTAGAACAGTATTGAAAAGATGTTTAAATTATTTTTGAATACTTAATAGTCGACCATTGTATTTTAGAGGAAGTAGATGGTCCAGGGTGGCGGTCAGAGAACATTAGAGAATTGTGGAAATTACATTTAGACAAAAAATTATAAACAATGTGAATAAGATTGTTCAAATTATAAACAGTAAGTACATTAATATATGAAAAGAGCAAGCTAAGTAACAAGATCCTAAACTGAAGTAAATAGATGCTAACAATTGTTGTAGTGTAATATATAATAAATGCAATTATGAATATACTCCTACAGATCTTAAGGAGGGATTGGATGGAAGAAAAGGATAAATAATATGAAATAATGGTCATAAAGAGATGTGAAGAAAGAATAGAAAACAGTAAAAAAAAAAAAAAAAAAATAGAGACTTACAGGGGTGTTCAGCAAGGAGTTTTATTCTAAAATTTAAAAAGTTGGGTAGAGCACCCTTGGGAAAATTTGCTGAGACCTTCTTGGTGAGTGGTGAGGGGTTAAGTAGTAAAAGCAAAACAAAACTTGGAACATTGCGGTATCTAAAATTTGAAGATATTGATGGATACAAGAAAAATACGATATCTATGAACTAATAAATTATAAATACATACATATACATATAAAATAGAATTGAGAAATTATAGATAGGAGTACAATGCGAATAAAAACCAAAATGAGAGATGTAAAATGTACATAGAAGTAAAATGTAAGTATAAAAATAAGAGATCATACATTGCAGAACTAATTTAGAAGTATAGAGAAGAAGCAATAATTATAACTAGTACAACTAATTATAATTATTCATTCTTGTTTCTTCTCTATACTTCTAAATTAGTTTTACAATGTATGGTATCTTATTTTTATATTTACATTTTACTTATATGTATGTTTTATTTCTTTTGTTTTTGATTTTATTTATGGTCGGCTCACTGGACCATCTCCTTCCTCTAAAATTATTTTTTTTATCATAGTAATACCTACAGATTATATATTTGCCTTTTAGTATAAATATTTTTCTAATCAAATAAGTGCTCTCTGAAGTGTATTGGTGGATTATTAATGTATTTTTTAAAAACTATTTAAGTTTTTTTTTTTGCATAATTAGCCTGCTTAGTTATAATACTCACTAACCTATTTAGTAAATAATCACATGGTGCTTTTGTAGTTAAACGAGAAATAAGAACAATTATATTAAATAGCATGAATTTGTTTCATTGATAAAAATATGATGTATTATTTATTTTCTGATCTGTACAAAATCTTTGAATAAAATGTTAGATGATCAAATTTCATCTTATATTTTAACTCTAAGTCAGTTTTGAATCATTGACATTCTGAGTTTTCCTTGTCGCAAACGAATGTTAAAAGATAAAGTGTTGGTAATGGCTTTAAAGAAAATATATTTTTTAATTTAATTAAAGAAAATTATTGGCTGCTAAATACTTAAGTAAGTGCAGTCTCCATTTCATTAATACAATTACCAAAACCGTTTACTCAAATTTACATTACACTTACAAGATGATTTCAGTCAAGAGTATATTGAATACTATTTTATTGTCATGTAACATCATGGGAATTTAATTTTTTTAACGATGTGTAAGTTTGATTTGCTGAATAACTTGACAGTTTTGTCATGAAATTTAAAAAATAAGTTTTTACTCTAACATTTTTATTTGGTCTCTCACTCTGTTAGGAACAAAATGGAAGAACTAAAATTATAATTGTTTTTACAATATTTTTAAACAAAGTTTATCAATATTACTGAAGATTTTTCCGTAATGTGAAAAAAATGTTTAAAAGAAAATTGGTTGAAGTAGAGGACATATATTTTAAAGTGGTTATTCTTACTATATCAATAATCATTTTTAGAATTTTAAATGAGTTGCATAATAAAATAAACACTTAAAAGGGTAATTAATCATGCAATTGTATGTCTGTTATTGGGTTTCATTGCATAAAACGTTTGATGATTATTTTGTATGATTTACTTACTTATACATTTACTTAAATTATATATTTTAAATATAATCAATATAAATTCTGAGGGATTGGTGGCCATTGTAAACTAAAAAAAAATTATAATTAAATAATATAACATCCAGAAATGTAATTCTAATTACAAAAAAAAAAAGAGGAAATCCATAAAAGTATTTAATTAATAAATTCTTGGAAATTAATATTTTAAATTCTTGAAAATCAATGTATACACACTTATTTATTTTTTCATTCACAAGATTTTTTTGTTAGTAAAATTATAGACAAATAATTAATACAGTTTTATTTTAATAAAAGGTTTTGGCTATATTCATTCCACTATTTTTATTTTTTTATACTGGCCAAATATAGCCAATTAATATACGCTTTTATTATAAATCATTCTTTCATCCTAAACAAAAATGTATATAAAAGTTTTATTTTAATTTAATTTTGAACAACCTTTCAGCTTCTTGAGTCATTCCAAAGTCTATAATTCATCCTTTTTTATCTATCTCATTTTAATAAAACTTGTCTATTGTTAATTCTTTATCATTTGTGAATTATATTTGGATTTTATAGGTATGACTTGGTCGTTTAACACTAAACAGATAATCATCTAAAACAAAAAAAAAATCTTTATTGGAGACTATAATTTTCCATTAAAAATATCAATGCATTGAAAGTATAAAAAACTGTTTTCTCTCATTCATTTTTTGTATATATTGCCTATTTCAATTGCTATTTGCATGTAACTTTCTGGAAACTTTTATCTAAATCATGAATTGGTATCCTTGTAGAACCTTATAATTCAGCCTGCAATTATTATTTTATTTCTCCTATATTTTTATATATAAAAGTCAAATTTTGTTCCTTTCACTCTACTCTGATTTTCCCTTTTTTGTTTCTATCAATCAGTTTTTTTTTTTCCTTTAAGCAGTTCCCAGGTATTAACGACTTCATCCATCTTTTTTACCTAATCCATTTGTTCTTTGTCCTTTCACTTATTGCATTTTTTAAAATGATTTTTACTGTTATATTTATTGGATTGAGAATCTGCTGAAAACTAGGGATAATGCAAAATACTAAAGTTAACACAACAAAATACAAAAATCAGCATAAAATTTGCCATTGATAAAATACATTTACTTATAAGTCTTACAAAAATGGAGTTTTTTTGTATATAGATGCCTCATATAATTTATTTTATCTTTTCTATTCTTGGCAGCTTATCTTTTGGTCGTTCTTTTTTTATTCCGAAATTCTGTTTATTTGATTTCTTATTTATTGATCATGTTTCTGAACTGTATATTTTGGTCATGTGTGTGTTCTTTATTGGATATAACTCTTCTAGGACAGAAAGAGTGGATAATTTCACAGTTTATCATAGGATTCCAACGAGGTTGTGAAATTCAAAGTTTATTATGTGTGGTTGCTACAAAATAAGTCAACCCTAATTCTACATGGCTCGTTACTCATGCACCCTGAAGTTCTGCCCTAACTCGCCACTATGTGTTTGTCATTCTTAGGTTCCAAGGTTATTTTGTTTCTCTGTATTTGTCCGACACTAGTTGTTCTGTTACTTCTAATTATCGAACCCAAGCATTAAACCTGTTATATAGTCTTCAGTCGGATATATTTTTCTATTATTTTTAATGGTTTGCAACCATTTGTAAATACTTTAATTCAGCATGTCTTTTTATTACTAGTGATTTGCTTATTTTTGGTTTTATAAGCTTTCAATCCAGTGCATGCTTCTTCATTTGGGGAATATTCATCTGAATTTAATAGTTTATTTTCAAATACGCAAGTAAGTATCCATAGTATTATACTAATTTAAAGTATGTTCAATCATTTTTAATATTTTATTTACAATTTTAGGAGACAAGTAAAGAAATCAAAGTCTGTTATTCAGCTAATTCTTTTTGGTGATGAAATAACTGAAGAAGATATAAAATCAAAAAATATAAGGCAGACTGGTATGTTAATTAATCTTGTAATATCAGTTCTATTTCCATTTACAAAACATTTCATATCAGAGAAACTATGATTATTAATTTCTTCGTATATTTTTGGGTTATGTAGATATTATTTGACACCTTCCTGGTAATATGGGTTATACCATATTAACTATCTCTTAATAATAATTTAAACCTTTGCAAATTCACTCTTTATGCTATTTAGAACAATGTTTTGAGCTGATTAGCTCCTTCAGTTCAAAATAAAATAAATTGTGTGAATTAGTGAATAACTTATATTATTTACCTTGAAAGTATTATCTAGGTATGAAATAAAATAACCTTGAAAAAAAATCTTGTTTTGTTACAAAATATTAATATTGTCCTACGATCTTTGACTATATTTTTTACAATAGGAATAGAAAAATATTCTTAAGATTTGAAATATTTACTAAGGTAATTTTTCTCTTTCATTGTTATTTTTCATTCGCCCATTAATTTTAAATTAGAATAGCGACTGTAATATAAACTCCATAAGCCTTAAAGATTTAGTAGAATAAGTTAGGGTTTCATTTAGTCTCTTGAAGTCTTGATTATCTACGCAATTAAAGCAGTAACAATCGTGTCTTACGAATCGTGAATGACTGGCCTATATATACATCAATGTACTGCCGTTAGTGCCTTCAAGTGAATTTGTATTGTTAACTCTTATTTTGTTATTATAGGCTCATATAACTTAGGATTTCTTGGCTAATTAATTATCAAAAAGTTTGAAATGGTTTTAATCTATTCATTTGCTTGTAAAACAATTTTATTGATGTTTGCTTTTCTCATCTTTTTTTTTTTTATACATATATATAAATTTATTATATTGATCTATTTTTAAGAGTTTATTTTCTGCTTTTACTGCATGATGTTTTTCCTAAAAATTTCAAACATTTTTTTTTTTCAGCTTTTCACTTATTACTCCTAAATGATCATTTCTTGGAAAATTTGGATTGTTCATAAATTAAAGTAAATGTAATTATATACAAGCCTAATAAATGACTTTAATTATATCAAGTCATTAAGAAGCTTTGGTAGCTCTAAGGAAGTCCATTTTTTTCATGTATTCAAAAAAAAGTTATGTTTTGTATTTTTAATGTTATTGATATACAAGAGGACTTGATCCTCTGAGATGCGAGAGCTGCTATGTTCAATGGATAGTGAAACATATCATACAAGACTGTCCTATGTTTAAAACTGTTAGGAAAAAGTTTGACATGCCACAAAGCCTGAAAGAAATCTTGAATGACAGTCAAATAGCTGTTAAAAAGACATTCGATTTTTTAAAAAGAATAAATTTCTACAACTGAGAGTAAATAAAAGGTGTTGCCAAGGCCCCTGCAGACTTGAGGCAACGAAAAAATAAATAAATATTTCAGTTATGCAAAATATAATTTAAGAATATTTTGTATATACTATAATATTAAGTCTTGTAAGAGACCATATTCCCAAACACTGTTAGGATAATTTGAATTGAATTGTCAAAGAGACCATCTAGACGACACATTGACAACTGCAATAGATTATATATGTAGTAATTTTGAAAATAATGAAGACCAATACCAATGATAGTGAATGATACTCTAAACTATTAATATCTAGACCCTTCATTCTGAAAAAAATCATTGGAGGGAGTTTTTGGAAATTACATATTTGTTACGATTGGTCTTGGTTCACCAAGAGTAATAAACCAAAATATTACGTTTCCTAAAATTTTTCTCAATTCCCAAATATGGTCTTTTACTAGATTTAATATTGTGAGATATACAAAGTATTATTCATTTCATATAATACATTTACATTGCTAAAATGAAATGGCGATTTTTAATGTTATTTTCTTTTTCAGAAATTCTTGTTGACTTGCGAGAAGCTATACTTCAGGTTGCTCGGCATTTCCTTAGTACAGAACCAAAGCTTTGTAAAGATGCTGCATTAGTTGCTGATTATAGTATAGAGAGCCATGCTAAAGATCATGAGAGGTATTTGAATGTATCCCGGACTAGAAATCGAAGAGCGAAAGCTTTACTCGGTACTTTGAAATTTAATATATTAATTTCTGATTCATTTAATTTTGTTTTCATTGATTAATTTGTGAAAAATAATTATGATTTATGTAGATTTTGAAAGGAATGACGATGATGAACTTGGGTTTAGGAAAAATGATATAATTACAATTATCAGTCAAAATGATGAACATTGCTGGGTTGGAGAGCTAAATGGTTTAAGAGGTTAGTATTTTTTTTTTCATTATTATTTTAACTTTATTAGTTGAAATATTTTTTAAGTTTAATTTCCCTAAAAGATGTTTACATATAATAACATTTAAGATCTTTATATTTACTTTTTTTTACACAATTATTTGAAAATAGTTGTTTCTGAAGGTAATATCTATGATATATTTACTCATTCCATGTATATTAAATTTCTCTTCCTTCAATACTATCAAACTTCACATATAGATGGACTTAGCATTTTTATTCTTGTTTTCTAGTTGACATTATATGCTGAAGGTATTTCGGTTCTTAGTGTCCTAAATTTAGGGCATCTTAAAAAAAGTTTCATAAGTTATTTTTTTTTATTGGAAACCTTTCATTTTGAAGATATTTTAATTTTGCATATTTTATTAATAGTTAAATATATAATGAGATCGCTGCAAATCCAATGAAAGTGTTCGGGAAGAACCTTATAATTTATTTTCAAACAATTTGTTTTCAATATTCAG